AGTATTCGCCATCAATAATAAATCATTTAACAAGAAGCCGAAGCTTTTTCAAAGTGTAAGAAAAAAATTCAGGAATTGGTGCCTTCAGAAACAACGAACCAGTTCCATAACCCCGGTAAGGGATAACCACTTCATGAAGATGTAGATACAAGGGCAGACGATGGTGCTGATTACCTGAATTAAAACTGAAGACCATTTTAACTATCAGAGAGCATCCACCTAACTTTGAGGTCTAATCGTAACAAAATACAAAGTAAAGAGAAAGTACCTGACAAATTCAAAAGATCCATTATCTTTGGGTGAAGCTTCCTCAGCCAGTACTCCTTGCGACCTCCATACTTTTTGTCGCCGAGGATAGGACATTCTAAGCCCCATCCAAGATGAGCTCTAATCTGATGAGTAAAATCTAAAAGATTAAATTAAGAGACATTATCAGCCAACTTTTTGTGGAAACCATAATAAAAATAACAAGAGCAGCGCAAAACCACTAACCATCTTTGACAATACATTTAACGTATGCGGAAAAACCATTGTCAGATATAACTTTATAGTGAGTATTGCCAAACAATGCATCTCCTTTTCTTCCACTGAACTGAATCGGTTTCATCTAAGAGATAAAAATAACTGAAGTGCATAAATAAATCTCAGTAGCAAAGTAGTGCGATAAAAAAGATAGAACTATCAGGCATTATTCAACTTTTGAAGCAGCATAAAAAATTGGTTATGAGGTCAATGCACAACTTTCCTTTTACTTTATGAAGGATTACCTGAACATTTTGTTCCCTAACTGTCTTTACCAAAGGCACATTTATAATAGCCTCTTCTTGTCGTGGAACTCGGCTTAAAATAGCGCGATAATGTTGCTCCACTAGACCAGCTTTGTACTTCTCAGCAATACTTTTATAAACGGAACCATCTCTAAAAATGAAATTCACCCAGCCTTCAAATAAAGTCAGGGTCTAAAAAAAATAATTACTTTCAAAAAAAATAATTTTCAAAGTTGTAAAACCATCTACAACTTACTTATGCAGTAAAGTGTTTGACTTGTTAAAACATTACTCACTTTGCAAATACAAGAACACCAGACACCTGTTTATCAACCGGCTTTAAAACACGTAAGTAACCAGTTTTAACAGAGAACCGGTGCTTCAGTTCCTGTAAAACGCGATCAATTTGTAAACTGTTTGGTGCCGCTGAAGCGTAAGGTAATGAATACGGCTTGTTGAAAGCCAGAAAATTATCTGAAATTTTAAAGATTAAGGAAACTTACAACTAAATTAATATATTAAAAATGATCTAATAAAGGTGTAGAAGTCAGAGGTAAAATAAATGCAGCAAAGCTCTACCATCGTTAAAAATTACTGCTTTTGAAATATATTCTACTAATTGTTGTTCTGACATTTTCCATACTTTTCCCACCCTGGATAAGATCGATTGAAGACCTGCATCGGCAATATAATCTGTAATGTGTTCCTGAAAATGACACACTGAAAAACAGAAAACTGATGGGGAAGAAACAGAAAATGAATTCTATATCAAAAATAAGTTCTTCCTATAACAAAAAAATTTCCAGAAATGTGTGCATGAGAAGCAAACCTGTGTATCCTTGCGCAGTCTCGATTCAGTTGTTCTAGAGTGTGAAATAGGATCTTCGCTAACAGTGGAAGGTGCGCTTAACAGAGATTTTTCCTTTCCACTTTTACGTACTTCTATTCGCTCCCAATTCCTCAATCTCTCAAGTTCTTTTAAATCACCTCTGTAATCGCTTACCATAATCAATTCAAATTAAAAAAAAAAAAAACAAACATAAAGAATTTGATAAATTGTCAGGTAGGAGCAATGACACAACTGTAGTAAGCCTGATATTTACAGGCACTATTTTTACTGTTTTGTGCATAACTTCCTAACAACACCCACTTTCTGATATACTGAGACTCTATATAGTCACTTCCGCCCAGCATTTCTTGGTCTTCACTACTGGTAGATGGTTCCGCCAAAACTTCTTTTAATTTGGGGTTATCCTCATCACCCACATAATTTGAGAAATACTGAGATTCTATAAAATCCTTCCCCAAATTTTCTTCTGAAACCTTCTTTTGCTTTCTACTACCAGGAGTGACCGGGAACTGTTCAAGATGCTGTACGCCAAAAAAATCATCTGCGCCATCAACCATATCACCTTTCGTTCCCCCACCGACCTGCAAAAAAATGAATCAAAGAACTCCTCCACTGAACTCGATTACCAATCAAACGACTAAACAGAAACACGCAAGCCTATCCAGACAATTTCACAAAGCGTGCCAAATTAAAACGCACAAATAACTTCAAATCACCAAAGAGAAAGTACTAAACTATAATTCAACATGTTCGCTAATGCTACACATCTCCTTTGACTGCTTCGTCTTTATATGACACTCTTCTCATATATAAAGCAAATTCAAACGTTAATGTTAGTCTCTTAACCAGCACTAATCATATTCAAAATGCTGTGACCATAGTTCACAAGTCCAAATGAGAGAGAGTAAAACTATTAAAGGAGTGCTAAAGCTGAACAGTTACGAACAATCAACTACATTTCCTCAATTTTATGTAGAAAATCGTTTTTTTAGCTACAGTAAAAGACAAAAATTTTTAGCGTAAATACAGTGAAAAGAACGCAAATACTACACATAAAATAAATGGTAGTGTCAACAGACCGCAAGTAAAACTTTAAAACCTGAATAAGTTTCAAATTTTTATTTACATTTCGACCAGTAAGAACTATTATGGAACGTATACCAGTAAGAACTATTATGGAACGTATATTATAGAACGTATAAACGTTTACCAACTTCACAGATAAATAATCTTACTTGAAAAGAAACAACTTCCCGGTTTTCGTCCAAGATTTTTTAACATACTTATTGCATGAATCGCTTTGAATTATCCCTACTGAGGTATCATAACAAAAACAATAAAAAAGAAATAGACAAATGAGATTAGACAGGATTGTACCCACCTGCTGTTACGGAAAATCACATAAAGCGATTACAAATCAGCAAAAAACTATACGCTACAACTACGAATGCGCTTCATAACCTATTCTTGGAGGCAACAGAGATGATAAGGTCAACACCCACTGTTTGGATAAAGCAAAACCAGCCAAGATCTCCACAACGAGATTTATAGGCAGCATAACATTGTATGTCCCACTCTTCTTCCGTTTCATAAACTCTAGTATCGGTAGTCTGCATGCCTTGACGCCCAAACGATCTACGAAAACAAATGGTTCGGAACGAAAAAGTGAGGCACACAAAATTACAACCACAGGCAACCTAGCCAACAAATATTTTTGAAAAGCCCTAAGAAAGCGGGCAATTGAATAAGCAAAAAAATTTAATTTAAACTGATCTTTACAACTGTAAGCGTAATTTTTTAAAGAACTGAATAGAAACGAATTTACTTGCAGCATCCTTAGATAAAGAACCGGCACCACTCTCGTCGACAAGACCACCAATAATATATGCTTCATTTTCAGAAAGACTAAGAAGTGGAGGCAAACTAGCATCAGGACTAAGGTACACAAATGATTTGTTACATACCTCCTATAAAAAATCATTCTGCTTGGGTTTAAATACTGAGCTATTTCATGTGAGAGTAAAAATCTGTCACTGAACAGAACAATCAACGGCCAAACAAACAGTCAAAAAGTCGCCATTTAAAAACCCCTAGGAACACATGAACACAAAAAAACCTACATAATAAGGTTGAGATTGCAAAATCTTCCATTTGTAATTACTGAAACCAGACAAAACTTTACGTCCTTCAATTAAAATCCTCTCGCAAGGCAAAGAAAGCGTAACTTCTAGTCCTGAATACCTAGAATCAAAAATTACTAAAAAAAATTCTGCGAACATGTAGATGAACACCACATTTGGATGAAACCTACTTTTTTTGAAGTCCCCACACTCGACCCAGTTGCTTAACTAACTTTGATATTTCTTTATCACTCATTTTCGACGAGAACCTGCAATCGATACATACATCCAACCGGAATGGAAGTGTGTATCTACAGCTGGCTATATTCCTTGCACGTCGCCTTTGATGCTCCAATTTCCGCTTAGCACGCCTTCTTCCTACAACCCTAAAGAACTGCAAATGCAAAACTGTTAGAGATATTAAATGCGATACTACAATTATGTCAAGTCTGGTGGAGAATTTTAGAGCGGTTTTGCCTGATGCATAACCATCATGGCTTTTAAAAACAAAATGTTTCATTGCAAAAGTGGATATTTTTCATAACAATTGAGTAAAAACACTTTACGTAAAATCGAAGTTCACTGTGTCAATAATACCAAAATTTACTGCCATTTAACCGGATATTATCTTGTAAAAATATGAAATTTTATTCGTTCACCAACAGAATGCTTACTTCCATAAATTCACCACTGATATATTTTAATATCCAAAAGTGAGGCTTAAGCACCACTGTATCAACAGAAAAATAACGTAAATAATCACAGCT